ATAACTGAATTTACTCAAATTTAAATAAAGTTTTGCACTTTGGATCAAGTTAAAAACATTTAGCCAGGGGATATCTGTTTTTGGTTTTTAACATTAAGGAACTAATTTAATTTTCTTTCATCACTAACAGTTTTCTGTGTAAACAACAACAACTTCCATGTAAATACCAACTGATGGGGAACAAATGTGTTGTAATCGTGCTGTAACCATGCGTGCGTTTTTATTGAGCTGCCACATGGTACAGGACGGGGATGGTACAGACAACCAGAAAAAAAAAAAAGGTTTATTTCATTGCTTTTTGCTGACGGTCACAACAGAACAGAAGCTGAAGTTTCTAAAGCACGCCACACTGCAAAGCAGGAATGACTCGTTCATGTGAAACGTTGGAGCTTGAAGACCTTTTTGATTTAATTAGCCACGTGGAAAAACTTATTCCTGGTGATCACCGCTGAGTGAGAGGAATATGTATGGAAAGCCAAAAGGGTCAATTTTGCAGTATGGCATGCCCTTTATGACAGGTCATTTGAGTGTTTGTGCAATCTCTCTGGTGTCCTTTACCCACTGCCCTTAAATGTGCATCAAGTCTATGTAAAATTAGTTGAAGCAACCATATTTATTTATATTATTTGTTTGTTTGTTTGTTTGTTGTTAGCTTCTCTCGATTGGCTCACTGATTAAATTCAGAATATAATCCAAAAATCTTATTTCTAACCTACTGTACAAAGCTCTCAACAACCTAGCTCCATCTTATATTGCAGATCTTGTTGTTCCATATTTTCCTAATAGACCACTTCGCTCTCAGACTGCAGGTTTACTTGTGGTTCCTAGAGTTGATCTTTCAGTTCTCAGGCTCCTCTCTTGTGGAACCAACTTCCAGTTTCTGTCCGTGAGGCTGACACATTGTCCAGTTTTAAGACTGGGATTAAGACTTTCCTTTTTGATGAATCCTATAGTTAGGGTTGGTCTGTTATTCTGCCATAGTCTTAGACTGCTGGAGGACAAACTGACCTCATTTCCTCTTCTCTGCCGTCTTTACTGTCTCCACTCTACCTGTTTGTATTTGTAATTATTTCTATCTTAACATGTTTTTTGTCTTTCCTCCTGTAGAAAGTTCACCTAGACTATAGAATCCACACCTGGACTATAGAAACTACACCTGGACCTGTCATTCTGTGTTTGTCTGTTTCTACTTCCTGTCTTCTCAAATCCAGCCGGTTGAAGCAGATGGGCGCTCGTCCTGAGCCTGGTTCTGCTGGAGGTTTCTTCCTGTTAAAGGGAGTTTTTTCTTCCCACTGTCTCCTTTGTTCTCGCTCAGGATGAGAGACTGTGACTAAGTGAAGATTCAACACAATCTGCTGCTTCCTTAGATAGAGAACTTTTATTAACTGACGTTTTTAATGTCTGTGAATGTTTCTGTTCAGTACCTTTACAGTAAGCTTGTCTCCTACAGGATGATGTCTGGTGGTGGGGTCCAGTCCTGGTCCTGCAGGGCCACTGTCCTGCATGTTATAGATGCTTCTCTGCTTGTGATTACCAGCCTTATTGAAGACCTGCTGAAGAACCGGGAAACAACTAAAACCTGGAGGACAGGGGCCCTCCAGGACTAAGACTGGACACCACAGCTTTAAACTGGCAAAATAAAAAATATGGTTTATGAGTAGTCCACCTAATATATCTACATTTAAACAAAACCTCAACGGTGTTCTGTGTTTTAGGTCTCTAGATCCCTGGAGCTGCGTCTGACAGCAGTCATGCTCCTAAACTGCTGGTGGCATGTTTCTGTGCCCTGAGGTGCTCCAGATGAGTTCAGTCCAGTTCTGAGTTTGTCAAGAGTCTAAACAAAACTGAGAAGGTCACTTTGTCTAATGGATACATAAGAGGTTTGATGTTTGCAGGGATGGGCGACTGCTGATGTATTTTTAATACAGATATTCAGGTGCTGGAAAGGAATACGTCATTTAGCTGCAGATAAAACAACTTGTGAGGGGTTTTATCTTCATAAACCTGTTACATTTAAATGGAGCATCCTGCTGGGAGGGCGGTATTAGGCCATGAGGAAGCAGCTGCAGGGTGTGTGCTCTACATCGTGTTGATTTGACCTTCAAGCATCACTGAAACTTAATTCTGCTGGATCTGGAGTCGATACCTCTATCACTGCCCAGATGGCAGAAGGGCGGACAAGCCGAGGCTCTGATGGGTGTTTCTCTACAGTTTCATTAATCCTGAAACAAAAACAAGTGAAGTCCTCTTTTAAAAGCAGGGAGTATTTAAAACTAAACACCCTCTTTTGGTGGAGGACTTGGAGGATCCCAGCTCAGCAGATGTTGGGATTAGAACCAGAGAAGAAGAGGTTTAACAGTGTGAGCAGGGAGGCTCAGGGTACGTGACAGCTGAAGCTGCTGGATCATAGACAGTCAGATTAACTACAGACCAGTGGATTTGTTCATGTGATCCCAGGAAAAGTTCACACGTTGGAGCATACAACGCTCTGACAGGTGCACACGTGCATCCTCTCAACATGCAAACGTCTTCTATAGAAGACAGAAGCATCTTTCCCTTTCTGGATCCCGTACCCTGCCTGGCCATAAATCCATGAAATGACTCGAGCTCCACCGGCAGCTGCCATCACTCATCCTCACACGCTAAGCTGCAAGGAATGGCTTTTTTATCCACAGCAGGGAGAAGAATGTGGAATCGTTCTGTGGCTACAACACAAAGAAGTTGGATCAAAGTTTCCTGATGCTGCTCAATAATCCAGGTAGAAAATCTATCAAGGTTGAATCAGGTCCTCTGAACGGATTCTTCTTGTTGAAACATTTCGTCTTTTATCCAAATGACTTCTTCAGTCTGAGGAGCTGCAACAAACTCGGTCTTATAAATTGCACCTTCTCATGGATCAATCAGTTTGATGTTAACATCCGGAACTAGCTGTTCACATGGAGGACCATCAGCCTAACAACCAATCGTTAGAGCTAAGTGCTAAGTGCTAAGCGATGGCCGCTTGCTATTCACAGAGGGCTGAGTGATACTAGCAATAACAGCACTGGACACAGAGGCTCCGCCCCCGTTTAACGATGGACAGGTTCTCTCAAATAAAAAAGCCACATCTTTGGAAAGTAACTCGTGTTCTAAGCTGCCGAAGAATGTGCCCCGCATATTTTAACCAAAAAAAAAAGAAAAAAACTTTGCTTTTCACAATAAAAGTGTTTATCTGTTCCTCTCACTGTTAGCTCTGAACAATGTTTTCCATTAATGTTTCATTTTCTGTCTTAACAAATTCATGATTTTGATTTGGACAGGTTCAAAGCTGAGCATCAGATTTGAAACATCTGCATTTTGGTATTTTACTACAAACATAAAGACACAAGATGCTTCTTGTGGTTTTGTGCTTTTGTAAAGTAAAAAGTTAACAGAACGGTTGGAGGATTCATCCTCATCATAAACTCGTTTATTTCAAACCTAACGACCTCCTCCAACCTTCAGAGCGATGCAGATGTTCGGAGCGTCGTGTAAAAACTCGACGACTGCAGTCGAGCGTTCGCCAGCTTTTGTTTCTGCTCCACTTGGCAGCGGGACGGTTTTTGTCTCGGAGCTCTTGATGCATGTTAACCTCTAAATGAGTCTGAGGCAGCGGAACGTCTCATTACTGTCGACGAGACGAGGCGTGTGCACGTCCCTCAGCAGGGACGGTGACAGGAGGCAGTAATTAACAAGGTGTAAAACGTTCTATTTAGTGCCCTTAAAGAATTACAATGATTAAAAAAATACTTTTCATTCAAGCTGGTAATAGTTTGAGACTATTCTTTTCAATCTCTAGCTAAATATTTTACTGCGGAGTCAGTTTGAGGACTTTTATTTTGGACGAAATGTGACCAGGGCCCGTTAACTTCCTGTTAGTGATCATGACTGACTGCAGCTGTTTTGGTTTGTCTGTATGAAAATGATTTGTTTGACCGGACATCAAGTCAGAGCAAGTCCAGGAAATTCAATGATGAGTGGAAATGAGTTCAGGTGTTCAAGAGCAACCCTGTATGGCAAGCAGTTTGTGTATTTATTCAATGATCCTGTATGTCAGGCTTCATTTTCACCAACTCGTTCACAACTAACCTGCACTAGCTGCACATTTGGGTGCACTAGTTCTACTAAGGATTGCACTTTTATACAAGAAGTTAAGAAAAAGTGCCAAAACTTAAAGAGTTGAACTAGTGCACCAACCCGTTAAAAGTAGTGCAAACAGACTTCCCTCCGGTGATAAAGTGTCTGTCGGTCTAATTGGAAACTAGTGGGCAAAAAAATATACAAATAAGACGATGCAGACCAAAAGCCACGCCTTCAAGCCAGACTGAAACCTGCAGCTAAATGCCAAATGTCTTCTGGAGACAAGTTTGATGGTCAGACGACAGAACGGTTGAATCGGTTAAAATCTGAGAACACTAAGAGTTGTCAAGTATGGTGGTGGTGGCATCATGCTGGGGTAGGAAAACTGAAAATTCTTCACATCAAATCCACAACTGAATCAACCTGTTGGAACAGCCGATGTGTCCAAGATCCAAAAGAACCCGCTCCTGACTGGATGAAGTCAGCTAACACCGAGCTTCTGGACCAGCCTTCAAAGCCTCGACCTGGACCCAATCTGAAAATCTGTGGACTAATTTAGTACCAGCTCCGTACCAGGAAACCAGTCAGTTCAAATATACTCTGCAACTTCTGCCAAGAAGAAGATGAGCGCTGGGATACGAGCCAGAATTTTACCAGAGACTCATTGAAGACAAAAAGCCTGAAGTCCAGCCGACACTGGCTGAGAGACATTGAACCAGTTATTACCAGTTATGAGTTAAACATATGGTTATAGATATATACGAGCCTGGATTACAGAAAACCCACAAAATATATAAACTTTTATACCTAATCCTTGGTTCATGCTCCATCATCCCATTCCTCGAATGGATCAGGAAAAACCCGGTTTAATGTGAGGAGCGGCGTCTGGTTCGTTTCAGTACCTTTGTCGCTGAAGTCGTCGACCAGGACGATCTCTGCGATGAGCTGTGGAGGCGAGCGGTTGAGCACGCTGTGGACCGTCCTCAGCAGCGACGACCAGCCCTCGTTGTGAAACGGGATGATGATGCTGGTGTTGGGCAGCCTCTCTGCGTACAGCTTCTGTTTGCAGCTGCAAACACACAGTAAAGTTTTATAAACACAGGATGGACCACCAAAATCAATACTGGTTTGGGTGGTCTTTTAAGCTTTCTGCCCTCCTCCTTTTTTTTCCTTGTCCACCGTTATCAGTCAGCCAGCAACCAGCCTTTTGTTGCACAGCCGCCTCTTCAGCAGATCTGGGGTCAGTGAGGTGATGGATTATTCAGCGCTCAGATGGATGTGTTCTGGCTCCAACACAGTTTGACTCACTGGGCTGAAATCCAGCTGTAATCTTCTCCAAAAGCACCGTTCAGTCCATTTTCTACTATTCGCTGTTTCAGTGACGATTGTGTTTGTTTGCCTCTCGAGAGCGGACAAAGTCAACAAAACGGGAACAGAAGGAAATCGTTTAGATACCCAGATTATACACATCTAAAGCAGCGTTAACCCACGTGATGTTAGTCTGTAGAACCGTTCAGGTCATTAAATACAGACACTCCACTGGAAGGAATATGGAGGATATTTTACACAGTGCGTTTAAATTAGACAAACACGTACAGGTGCTGGTCATAAAATTAGAATATCATGAAAAAGTTTATCTATTTCAGTAATTCCATTCAAAAAGTGAAACGTGTATATTCTGATGCATGCTCAATAATCCAGGTAGAAACTTGTACATTATATTCATTCATTACACACAGACTGATATTTCAAATGTTTATTTCTTTTAATGTTGATGATTAGAACTGACAACTAATGAAAACCCCAAATTCAGTATCTCAGAAAAATAGAATATTACTTAAGACCAATAAGAAAAGCATTTGTAGAAATGTTGGCCAGCTGAAAGTATGAACATGAAAAGTATGAGCATGTGCAGCATCAATACTTAGTTGGAGCTCCTTTTGTCTGGATTACTACAGCAGTGCATCGTGGCATGGAGTCGATCAGTCTGTGTCTCTGCTCAGGTGTTCTGAGTCCAGGTTGATCTGATCGTGGCCTTCAGCTCTTCTGAATTGTTGGCTCTGGTGCATCACATCTTCCTCTTCAAAATACACCATAGATTTTCTATGGGGTTAAGGTCAGGCCAGTTTGCTGGCCAATTAAGAACAGGGATACCATGGGCCTTAAACCAGGTACTGGTAGCTATGGCACTGTGTGCAGGTGCCAAGTCCTGTTGGAAAATGAAATCTGCATCTCCATAAAGTTGGTCAGCAACAGGAAGCAGGAAGTCTCTAAAACTTCCTGGTAGATGGCTGTGTTGACCTTGAACCTCAGAAAAAAAAAATTGGACCAACACCGGCAGATGACATGGAGCCCCAAACCATCTTTGACTGTGGAAACTTGACACTGGACCTCAAGCAACGTGGATTCTGTGCCTCCCCTCTCTTCCTCCAGACTCTGGGACCTTGATTTCCAAAGGAAATGCAAACTTTACTTTCATCAGAGAACATAACTTTGGACCACTCAGCAGCAGTCCCAGGCGAGACGCTTCTGACGATGTCTCTTGTTCAAGAGTGATTTGACACGAGGAATGCAACAGCTGAAACACATGTCTTGCATACGTCTGTGCGTGGTGGTTCTTGAAGCACTGACTCCAGCTGCAGTCCACTCTTTGTGAATCTCCCCCACATTTTGGAATGGGTTTTGTTTCACCATCCTCTCCAGTGTGTGGTTACCCCGATTGCTTGAACACTTTTTTTCTACCACATCTTTTCTTTCCCTTCTCTCTATTCACGTGCTTGGACACAGAGCTCTATGAACAGCCAGCCTCTTTAGCAATGACCTTTTGTGTCTTGTCCTCCTTGTGCAAGGTGTCAATGGTCGTCTTTAGGACAACTGTCAAGTCAGCAGTCTTCCTCATGATTGTGTAGCTACAGAACTAGACTGAGACCATTTAAAGGACTTTGCAGATGTTTTGAGTTAATTAGCTGATTAGTGTGGCACCAGGTGTCTTCAATATTGAACCTTTTCACAATATTCTAATTTTCTGAGATACTGAATTGTTTTTTTTTTATTTATTAGTTGTCAGTTATCATCAACATTAAAATAAATAAACATTTGCAATATATCAGTCTGTGTGTAATGAATGAATATAATATACAAGTTTCACTTTTTGAATGGAATTACTGAAATAAATCAACTTTTTCATGATATTCTAATTTTATGACCAGCGCCTGTATTTTAGATTGTAAATGTTATTACTAGAAATGTTCAGATGTGAACGACGTAAACTTCAACCTTAAATATTGATTAAAATTTCACCCAAGATATTGGTTCTGCAACATCGACGACGTTTACGACAAAAGTTTCATCTACGATCTGTAGATAGAATCTCCAAACATTCATGTTCAGATCCCTCTGCAGCGGGGGACGTCGGTGTTCTGCTTGTTCGATCTTCTATAGTTTGTGAGGAGCACCTTCAAAGCTTCGGCCTTCAGACCCTCCACAAACACCTGCTGTTGAGTGACTGAGTTCATGCAGCAGAGTTCGTACCACGCCACCACCGCTGAAACTAGCGTGCCGATTGTGTCATACGCCCACATGAGCAGATCTGTTAGAAAAACGATTCTGAGATGCTGCATTGATTTCTTTCAGTGCCTGCCGGCTCCGACGGGTGACTGCAGGGGATGTTGGGTCAAGGAAGCCCTGCTTTGATAAACACAAATGAAAAGAGAAAGTCCTCCTGAGGAGACCGCTGGCTCTGAAGCGTTCAGCTGCTTTCCACACGGAGGAGGAGGCAGGGTCAGCTGTCGGAGGCTAAATGAAAGCTGGGGTTTGAGGCCTTTCAGTGGCATTCGGAGGCTGAAAGGGTTCCCAGTTCACCCAAGGGTCTGAGCTTGCTCTGCTGTCGGAGGGGAAATGTTTTCATCGTAATAATCTCCTGATAAACATCTTTCCAAACAGCCTCTTCATGACCTGCTGCTTTCAAACAGAGACGCAGCATCACTTTAAATAACTCCGTGTGAGCAAACAAGTTCTTCCAGGGCTGCTGGCTCTTACAACAACAAAGACTAAAGCCATTTAAACCTTAAAAACAATTATTGGGCCCTCTGTTGGCAAAATATCTCATAAAACATTAGATGGATTTTAATGAAATTCTCAACATAATCACTGGAGCTTTGTCTCCTGGGTGGAAGAACTCTAGTAGGGCCTTTGGTGATGCTAGGTAGGGTTTGCAGCAGCCATCTTGCTAGGTGCTACTACAGTACTCTGCACTGTTTAAATGTAAAATCCACACTTTGGGTGAGCGGTGCCATCAGTCCCAAAAGGCGCAGGTCTTAGATGTCATGATAGTGAAACATGTAGTGTATTTATGTTTCTATAATGATGATTTGAAAAATAAATCTGTAAGGAGCCTCCTGCTGAGACCAGTCAAGAGTTAGAGACGTTAAAAATAACCGACTTGATGCTTCACGAGCAGCCACTTAAAACCAGACGGGTCATATTCAATGATGAAATGACCAAACTCTGTTTTACATCTAACAAACACTGTAACTAACGAGGCATTACACATGTCTGATTATTCTGCTACCTGTCTGTAGTTAGCTGCACTTCGGCTGATGACCTCAACTCTGGTCATGTTTCACTCATCATAAGAAAATGTACGGAAGAAAAATGGATCACAACAGTCTGAATGTTCATGAAGCATTCACTCGATCGTGATCCATTTTTCTTCTGTACGTTTGTCGGCGCGATTCTCGTCCCGCAGTTTTCAGCTTTTTCAACAAATCATAAATCAAACCATTCGGCTCTTTCAGGACAATCCTGCTACGACTTTTGGTATTGGTGCAGCTTTAGCTTTTTGAATTATTTAGCCTTTTCTGACATTTTATTTTCTCATAGAAATTGAATTGAGCTCATTTTACCTCCGTCAAATGTTTAGATCTGTTTACAACCTTTTACTGCTCCTTTCACATTTTGTTCTGCTTCAGCTGCTTTCAGCTTCCTTCTGCACATTCAAACATATTTCAGCTACTTTCAGCTGTATTCTTCAGCTGTTTTGTGCTCCTTTCAGATTATTTCTATTAACTACAACATTTTTGTACTTCTTAACTTGTTTCTGTTAATTTCAGCTTGCTGTGCATCTTTCAGCTTATTTATGCAATGTTCAGCTTTTTCTGCTATTTCAACTACTATTTAGATGTTTTTATGCTAATTTAAGCCGTTTCAGATAACGTCCACTTTTTTGTGCTCATTTCTGTTTCTTTCAGCCTAATTCAGCAAACATGCTCTTTCTGATTTCTTCTGCTAATTGAAGCTTGTTCTACCTTTTCAGCTACTTTTTAGCATTTTCAGCTCATTTCAGCTGTTGTCGGATAAATTCAAATTTTTTGTGGTAATTTCAGCTACTTTCAACCTACCGTAATTAACTGCTTTATGGTAATTTCCGCCTATGCTCCTTTTAGCTTCTGTTATTTCAGCTACTATTTAGCTGTTTTGTGTTTATTTTAGCTTTTTCAGCTAATTCCACATTTTTTAACTCATTTCAGCTCCTTCCACTTCCTTCTGGTTGTTTTTCTTTTTTCCATTTCAGCTACATTTCAGCATGTTTTTAGCTAATTTCAGCTGTTTTAAGCAAGTTCTTCTACAATAAGCATTCACACTGCATTTTCTAGATAAATCTAACCTTTAATTGCACTTAAGTATTTAGACTGTTTTTTTTTTCAGCCAATATAGTGATTCACGAATATCTAGCACACACACATGCACACACACACACGCGCACACGGACGCAGGACTCACTTCTCGTGGCGGATGTCGGGCAGCGAGCGGTTGAGAGAGATCCGGTTGCTGACGTAGATGTTGAAGCCGTTTTCTCTGTAGGCCTGGTCCACCTGGTCAGTTTCTGTCAGAGGGAACGGCTTCCCCTGCTCTCCGTTACCTGTTAACACACGTGTCAGGACAAACCTGTTAACACACGTGTCAGGACAAACCTGTTAACACACGTGTCGGGACAAATAAAGAATTAGCTTTGAACGCGTGTTCAGGAACTTGTCTGGGATCAGACTAAAGTAACAGCCAGTTACACCTCCGGCTGTAAATCTGCTCGTTTCTACATCAACGGAGTATTTTACAAACTAACAGACAACAATGATCTTCCATTTTTAACCTGCACTGGTGTGAACTCCTCAGTATTTGCAGCTGTGTTTAGAGGTGGAGCTCCTGAGGTTTTCACTCATTAAAGATGCATTTAGTCCATTTTTTCTGGTCACATCTGCAGGATCCTTTGCTCCACACGCAGCAGACAACTGTTACCTTTTTCTACCGAAGCACCGGTTTGTCTTTTTACTTCTCCAGTTCGTGTGGACCCAGAGCACAGAGCAGCGTCTTCATTAAAAGACCAAACTAAACGATGTGGCAGCTAAAACTGAAACTCGTGGGAAGGTACGAGAACCCAAGGCGGGATGCTGGACTAGGAACAACAATGCCCTGCTGAAGGAGAACAGACTGAACATGTGATCCATCAAATCAGTTCAGGGATCGAGTTGGATCTGGCCAAACTAAGGCGAGCACATTCTACCGTTTCTGATGAGCTACGTTTCGATACATAGATCATCCTGATGTCATGAGAGAACATGACAAATCGTTCTGGATCCTATTTTTAGATATTTTAATGAGGCTGTGTCGACGTCATCTGAAAGATGAACGCTACATTTGGAGATCAGAGCCCAGCTGCTTTGAAAAAAGTTTCTGATGAGCGGGAAAAGAAGCGCAAACTGAAGTCTTTCTGCTCAAAATCATCTTTGTGGTTCGCACTGCTCAGAGGAGAACTTACAACATCCTGAGGGTTCAATTATGGACACTTCCTTCAAGGGACCATCCATCCAACTTCCATCCAACATCCATCCAACATCCATAATCTTTACCCGTTTCTTCCTTTTCGGGTCACTGGTGTCCATGTCCAGCAGTCACTGTGTGAGAGCGGGGTACACATGGACAGGTCTCCAGTCCATCACAGAGAAACCCTAGACAGGTCTCCAGTCCATCAGAGACATTCTGGGCAGGTCTCCAGTCCATAACAGAGACATTCTGGACAGGTCTCCAGTCCATCACAGAGACATCCTGGACAGGTCTCCAGTCCATCACAGAGACACCCTGGACAGATCTCCAGTTCATCACAGAGACACCCTGGACAGGTCTCCAGTCCATCACAGAGACACCCTGGACAGGTCTCCAGTCCATCACAGAGACATCCTGGACAGGTCTCCAGTCCATCACAGAGACATTCTGGGCAGGTCTCCAGTCCATCACAGAGACATCCTGGACAGGTCTCCAGTCCATCACAGAGACACCCTGGACAGGTCTCCAGTCCATCACAGAGACACCCTGAACAGGTCTCCAGTCCATCACAGAGACACCCTGGACAGGTCTCCAGTTCATCACAGAGACACCCTGGACAGGTCTCCAGTCCATCACAGAGACATTCTGGACAGGTCTCCAGTCCATCACAGAGACACCCTGGACAGGTCTCCAGTCCATCACAGAGACATTCTGGACAGGTCTCCAGTCCATCACAGAGACATCCTGGACAGGTCTCCAGTCCATCACAGAGACATCCTGGACAGGTCTCCAGTCCATCACAGAGACACCGTGGACAGGTCTCCAGTCCATCACAGAGACACCCTGGACAGGTCTCCAGTCCATCACAGAGACATCCTGGACAGGTCTCCAGTCCATCACAGAGACACCCTGGACAGGTCTCCAGTCCTTTCTATCTGATGAAGACGCTCAGAGCTCTCTACAACACCCTGCGCCTCATTTACCCGTTCATACAGTTCTATACTAGATCTGTACAAAGACTAATCAGAGCTTTATCACATTCATGCACTGATGGGACACATCGGAAGCAATGAGGGTTCAGTGTCTTGCCCAGAGACACTTCGGCATGTGACTTCTGGTGGATTCGAACCCCCAACTCTCCGATTGGAGGATGACTGCTCTAACACTCCGCCACAGCCGCCCCCCTGGTCCATAAATGATGAACAAAAAACATCTCATGAACGTCTCAACCTTCGTTCTGTAAGAGTTGACACAAACCAGGAAAATGTAATTATCTAGAAGCAGCAAACTGTTGACAATGTGCAGGAAAATGTTTGTTAAAAGATAGAAGTGGTGAAACGTTAGCACAACGCTAGCTAAGCACCCAAAGTAGCTAAAAGCTAGTATGCTAAAAGTAACAAAACATTAGCAACAGAAAGACAGAAGTAGCAAAAATCAGGTATATTTTTTTAAAAAGAAGAATAATTTGCATAAATCACGGTAGAATTAAGAAAAGCAGAGCAGAATGAGCTTCGACGTGGCAGAACACTGGCAGGGCTGAATCACTCATGCACAGTCCTCGTTCTGTCTGACCTCGTGCAAACTGTTAACATGCGGTCGCACTCAAAGAGTATCATGTGGATTACCGTCAGCTACTACCACACGTGGCTGTTTGGGCTTGTCCAGAACCAGACTGAGAAATGCTGTGTTAACTTAAAGTCTGATCCGTGCAGTCCGGGTTCTCTGTGTCTGTGTTTTCCGCCCGAGTTTCTCCTGAACCAAACTCTTCTAAAGCCAATTAAATCATTTCCACTTGTTTTCAACTGGAGGCAGAATCGATGCTTTTTGTTGTAAATTAGGTTAAATTCTGAACTCTTCTATTTTGATGGAGTCACGACGGTTCTGGTGAGAACTCCCACTGAGAGGGAAGGAGGAGAAGTTTGGTTGTTGTTCTTGTTTTATGTACAGAATGGGTTTTGTGCAGCAGAGAGTTTGGACCCACCGACACGAGCAGCGTCTCTTCTTATGGAGTCGTAGTCGTGCCAGTCGACCCGCCGCACGCCGTCAACGCCCACCTCGACCACTCGTTGATTCAAGCCCTGAAAGAAGAGAAATTAGAGAAACTTTAGAGGAGGGGTCATAAATATGTCGCCCGCAGGCACCGCACGAGTCGCCTGAAGGGACCGCACGAGTCGCCTGCAGGGACCGCACGAGTCGCCCGCAGGGACCGTACGAGTCGCCCGCAGGGACCGCACGAGTCGCCTGCAGGGACCGTACGAGTCGCCCGCAGGGACCGTACGAGTCGCCCGCAGGGACCGCACGAGTCGCCTGCAGGGACCGTACGAGTCGCCCGCAGGGACCGTACGAGTCGCCCGCAGGGACCGCACG